TGACGAGGGAGCATGGGGCCGGCTCCCCGGCCAATCATCAGGAAGCCGGGCGCAGCATCATTACACAGCGCCCGGCTTCCTGATGGGCCAGAAAGCCAGCTCCATGCTTTCTCATCACCCAGTGAGGAGAAGCATGGGGGCGGCTTCCCTGTACATTGGGAAGCTGGGTGGCGAGTCTTTACACACCGCTTGGCTTCCTGAATGGGACTTCTAGTATCGTTATTCGGTATCGGCGAGTACTGCAAGAAAGATATCGCTACTCGTACTCCATACCGAAATACCGGTATCAGTGCATCCCTAATACTGTGTATATATATATATATATATATACATACATATATATACACACACAAGGATGGTCAAGCCATCTACAGTAATCCAGTTTGCCTCCATTACCATTAATTACAAAGGATGGTTTCGCTACGCTGACATGTTCCTTACAAACAGCCAGCAAGCTAATCACACATTTCTAAAATAAGACTTGGTTACCCTAGTTACCACAGACACTATTTAAATGCAAGGATTATAAAGAAGATCATCTTTTCACTATTAAGGATATAAATATATAATACTATAATACTGGCCCCCGTAGCACTAAGCCATCTTGGTAAAGGAGTACGGCTTTGCTTCCTAATGTAAGACCTGCCCCCTGATAAATAGGGATCCGAGGACTGGTGGAGGAATTATTAAAGGAGAACTATGAGGTGAGTGCTTTTCACTCACCTCATAGTTCTAGCCGACCTGTGACAATGAGACTGTCACAGGTCGGCTCAGTAGATCGGGAAGTGAGCGAACACATACCGGCGTTCGCTCACCTCTCGATCCTGTCACGGCTCTCTGCCGTGACAGGGGAGGGGCTGGATTCCCCCATCCCCGCTCCAATCCGCCAGCGCTGACTGGCGGAACGGACGGTGGAGGGGGCGGGTACAGCTGGCTCTGCCTCTAGATAGGCAGAGCCAGCTGTCAGTCACGCAGCTGGGCGGATCCCGGCACAATTGTCGTGATCCGCTCCGGCTGCGGCGCCTCAGTATACGGCGAGCAGCAGCTAGCGGTATACTGAGCCTAGGGTGACGGGAGGACGCTAGTTTGTGTCCTCCCGTTACCCTAAGGAGAACTATGGGGAAAAGCCTTAACCCCATAGTTCTCCTTTAAGGAGTAACTGCCACGGCTTATGTAACTGCTACGCTGCAGTTACATAAGCCGTGCATCTAATGCAGCACAGCCGTGTAGATTTGCTCCGCGCAGCATGAATATATATATCTTTGTATGAGTCACAGGACGCTCACCGCTCATAATCCCTCCCGGAGACACTGCTGAGGTCTGCAGGATCAGAGGAGCTCCGGTGTGCAGGGGGAAGAAGAGGCGCTGCTTTGTAATGAGAACAAAATGTCAATGTTTTCACATGAGATTCACACAGCTTTCACCCAAGACTAATGGGAACAATGTGTGAAAGTTGTGTGAATCTTGAGTGAAAACATTTATAAACACACCCCTACGTCTAAGCCCTCGTTCACACCTGAACGTTTTGTAGTGCGTTCTACGCTCGACGAACGCTCTACAAAACGCTCAAAAATATCAATCCCATTGTATTCAATGGTCTCGTTCCCACCTTGGCGTATTTCCGCCCGTCCCTAACGCGCTACAAAACGGCCCACGCCTGAAAAGGTACATGTACTACTTTGGGCCGTTTTGTTGCGCGTTTCCATTGGGATACAGCCAAGTAGCCTTCGGAAACGCGGAACTTTTTTACCGCGAATCGCGGTAAAAAACCGTGCGACGGTCGCGCGACAGACGGGCATATGCAATACGCCTAGGTGTGAACGAGACCTTATGTGATTCTTCAAGTTCGGGCTGATTCAATGCCCTCTACACAGCACATGGCTTCAATGAAATGTCTGAAAGCATGCGCTAAGAAGAGAAGGGGGAGGGACAAAGGTGTTCCTGCGTTCAGTCTGCACAGATCAACACAACTCAACGGATATGATGTGGATGAGCCCTTAAAGTAGAATTCAACAATTTTTTTCAATGATGAATCCAGATCCAACAAATGTACATGGCTCAGCAAAGTATTTCTTCACATTTTTGCCCATGTCCTTACAGTCATCATGTTTCTGAACAGCTCCGACTCTCTCAGCTCATCTTCCCTGAACTTCCTGCCCAGTACAAGATCACAAGGGACAGAGCAGTCTCCAGCAGCCATCCATCTACTAGCCTGGAGAAGGGAGCTGGGGTGAGGATTGTCCTGCTGTGCCTGTGTGTTGGTAGAGACACACACAGCTTACTTACACACACAATGGTGGCTCCATAGGAACCTGCAAAGGGAAAATAACCATGCCTCTGTCTCTGGGAGTCATGCCTGTGGCTGCCAGAGCCTTGCAATGCCTCATGGGACTTGTAGTTCCACAACAGCTGCAAGGCTGCAGTTGCTCACCCCTGGGATATTAGGATATATGTTGCTGAAAGCGTGGAGCAGATCCATGGCACACAGATCAAAGGTGCTGAACAGCCAGAAATACAGGATCAAAGCAGCTTGTGGAAGGGTCATGTGATCTCATCAAATGACATCAAATCCTTCAAATGTATCAAATGTCCCCATAGAAGGCTTTTTGTAAATGAAATTTCCTCTGAGCTCAGCCCGTCCTAGACCTGCCCCCAGCCTGTGACTGGACAGTGAAGGGAGAAGCAGCACAGTGATGAGCTTATCTCTGCCACTCTGCTCTCTCTTCCTATCAACGTGCTCCTTGTCAGCACAAGAAAGATCTGATTAGCTGATGAGCTCATCTCTCTGTCACTCTGCTCCCTCATCCTACCAGCATGCTCCTTGTCAGCACAAGATCTGATCAGCTGATGAGCTCATCTCTCTGTCACTCTGCTCCCTCATCCTACCAGCATGCTCCTTGTCAGCACAAGATCTGATTAGATGATCAGCTCATCTCTCTGTCACTCTGCTCCCTCATCCTACCAGCATGCTCCTTGTCAGCACAAGATCTGATTAGATGATCAGCTCATCTCTCTGTCACTCTGCTCCCTCATCCTACCAGCATGCTCCTTGTCAGCACAAGATCTGATTAGCTGATGAGCTCATCTCTCTGTCACTCTGCTCCCTCATCCTACCAGCATGCTCCTTGTCAGCACAAGATCCGATTAGCCTCTCATGCTGCTTCTTCATCCCACACTCCAGCCCTGCTGTAAAGGGACTCCAGGAGGCTGACACCGGGTCACATTCAGGTCCTTACAATGTTTGCAGTTTTAAAAAAAATGGCTTTTAATGATGAGTGAGCTGCCCTGATTTGTGTCTTTTATATTGGCCTGGAGTTCAGCGTACAGCGGCGGCTACAGGGGGACGCGTCGGCGTTTTTCGCTAATTGCTAGCGTGGCCAATTGGAATCCAATAATAAATGTGTCACGTAGGCAAGCAGAGGTGATGACTGGACTCCAGCGTTGGCCCTCCTGGGGGTTTCCTCCGAGTCCCTGGCCCTTTAATGGGAAGGTCGGAGAACGCGGAATGCTCGGCATGGATTACGGTAT